TATTTATTACATTTAATACACAAACATTACACAATGCATTATGCAGCATATTGCAACATGAGCTATTTAGATTTGTGTTCTATTTAATATTTGTATTTTGGGAGGATTTAATAACTTGTTTGATAATGTACATTAGTGTAACTGTATTTTGTATTTGCTTTCAGGTTAAATAACTCTGACCTGAAAGAGAAAGGTTGTGTAGCTCTGGCCTCAGTGCTCAGCTCTGAATCCTCCAGTCTGAGAGAACTGGATCTGTCTGGGAATAGATTCAAAGACTTAGGAATGAAGTGTCTTGCTCCTGGAGTGGAGAATCCTCACTGTAAACTGGAGACACTGAAGTGAGATCATCTCTCTGCGAGGCATATGAGCCACAAGACCTTCTACATAAATGTTCTCATAAATTATGACTAGTGTACCAGTAGTCACACCCCATTTCTGTCTATTTTTTTTCATTATGATATCATATGTTTAACATAGGTCCATGATTCTATGTTCTCCAAAGTGAAAGTGAATAATTTTTCAATTCGACCTACGGTTCAGTGACTGTTGAGGAAGTTCTGATCTGTGTGTCCTGAACTGAGAAAGTGAAGAGTGTGTCATTGTCTCTCTGCAGGTTGTGTAGTTGTCGTTTCTCAGATAAAGGCTGTGCTGCTCTGACTTCAGCTCTGAGATCAAACCCTTCACACCTGAGAGAACTGAATCTGTCTAGGAATTTTCTCAGAGATGCAGGAGTGAAGTGTCTCTCTACTGTACTGGAGAATCCTCACTGTAAACTGGAGACACTGAGGTAAGATCATCTCTCTGAGAGTCACATGACCTGCTCCTCAGGGCTGATTGAAACGCAATTTTGCTGCTCTTGCTGCTGGAATTATGTATAAAACACACCATCACACCACGCAATGACTTACAACTCACAAAACCAAAAGCACTTTGTCAGTGCTGTTCTGTCATTTCTACATGCTATTCTAGCCCTAGCAGTTCCAGGGAGGTTTAAATTACTGGGGAAACACCACTGTCCACCATTGTGATCTGACTTGCACACACAGTTCTGATTGGCAGAAAAAAGGAGTTGCGTAGCTTTTAGGTGTAATTAAACACATACACACACACACACACAAATCTATATGAACCCATTATATTTA